TAACGGCTAAATTAAACTAGAAGTTAGAAAAAGAACTCCCTTTTAATATATTTTTTTAATGTGAACACATGTATATTATGTAGAGTATTGGACCCCACAAAATATAATATTAAATTTGGTCATTGTGGAGATGGACCCCACAACAGAATATCGTAAAGTTGGTGCAAGACTATTTCCAAATAAAAAAAATGAAAATAAGCACATGAGAAAGCCGTCCCCAGTACAAAATAAACAAATAATAAATTAAATAAAAAAACTTAAAATAGAGAATGAGCCCAAAAAATTATCCAAACCAACCGAGTAAGGGACGGAGAAACGCGCGGGCCAATCGTGTGGGTCCTACCTTAAGCCTTTACCAGTTCACTTTTAACTCATTTGGCTTTTGTGATTGTTCCCCACGACAGCTTACCGAGCGTCGCCGTAGCAGATGATTACAGCTCTTTCCTTCTTCCTTAATAGTCTACCACCTTCCCAATCCCATTGCTGAAAATGCGAAACTAAAAAACCAAAAACAAAAAAAAAAAGGGGCATCCTTTCCCTCGTTCTCTCTCTCTCTGGTACAAACAGTCGCATTCTCTTTCTCTCTCGCTCTAAAAAGTTGGAGAGAGAAAGTTGTTCCGCCGAGAGGCCAGACTCGAAAGAGAATTATCGACGGTGTAAGCTCTTAGCTGGTCTTGCTTTGGCCGACAATTTCTAATGTCGACGCCAACTCCGGGATCTTCCCCGGGGCCGTCGTCGCCGCCGGCGACGAACACCACCTCTCCTCCGCCGGCGACGAACACCACCTCTCCTCCGCCGGCGACTCCGAGCGCGCCGCCTCCATCGACTACAGCCGCGCCTCCGCCAGCCACTCCCTCTCCACCGCCACCTCCAACCAAAACTCCCTCTTCGCCTCCGCCGTCGACGACTCCATCCCCTCCGTCGTCCACTACTCCGCCTCCGACCTCCTCTGATTCTCCGCCGCCGCCGTCAACAGACTCTCCGCCTCCGCCTTCCTCGACGACGCCGTCGAATCCGTCGAGGTCTCCGCCGCCTCCACGCTCTAGTACGCCGTCGAATCCCAGCCGGAGTCCTCCTCCACCGCCTAGCTCCTCATCTCCCTCTTCGGGAGGGGGCTTGTCTACCGGAGTCGTTGTCGGGATTGCGGTAGGTGCGGTGGCGATCCTTGTTTTGTTCAGCATTCTGTGCATTTGTTGTTCGAAGAAGAAGAGGAGGAGACGCGAGGAAGCTTACTACGTGCCTCAGCCGCCGCCGCCTCCTGGACCTAAAGGTAATGGCTTTTTCTCTCATTCAAGGGAAAAAAAAACTTGAAAATCCGTCCTCGCGACTCAAGTGTGTTAGGTTTTCTATTTCTATTTTGGTTTGGACTTTACTTTGGATTCCCGAAATTACCAACTTTCTAGGCGTATAATGGTATAATCATGAGTTTTCCAGGGAAACCTGGGAAGCTTTCTTTGACTGAGAATATCAGTATCCTTTGTTAGATCTCAGCTTTTCGCTCGGAGAATTTCGTTCATGATTAACATTCTTTTGAATTTGATCTTTTTTTTCCCTCATTACTGAAACTGGTAATAATATGCCTGATTTCCTTGAATGAGAATTTCTCAACTATGAATGCTTTCATCCTCAAATCTTTGTAGAGTTATCTTTCAACCTATAAAATGTAGAGAGTTTTATTTATTTATTTATTTATTTATTTATTTTTTTTTATAAATTGCATTTTAATGTGGGGGCCAAAATGTTATTATTATTTTCTGTTTTCATCCTCAAAAATGTTTTTTTTTTCTTTTTTTTTTTTTGCTGTTCGTAAAAATGATCTCTTTTTTTTTTTTTTTTTTTTTTTTTTCCGTTATTAAAGTTGTGACTAAAAGAAAATACTTCTGAGAGTCGTGAGATTATATAATGACGCACATTAACAGACATCTGGGAAGAAGAAAAACTGATAAGCAGATGCCTGATAATAGGCAACTGCAACTTCCTTTGTGTTTTTGCAAAGATTTCTGTATTGTTTTATTATTTTTGGCTTTTTACTGCCGTTTCAAGATACTCCCTTCACCTTGTTTATTGCTGCTTTCCAGATAACTTTTATGGCAATCCACCAAATCGCTGGCAACAAAATCCTCCCCCTTCGGATCATGTTGTCATGCCAAAACCATCTCCTCCACCAGCAGTTGCATCACGTCCTCCGCATTCTCCGGGATACGCTCCCAAACCGCCACCGCCGCGTCCAGCTTTCACAAGCAGCAGCGGGGGCTTCGGTTCCAATTATTCAGGATCTGAAAATCCTCTTCCACCACCACCTCCGCCAGGCTATAACTTGGGTTTCTCGAAGAGCACTTTTACCTACGAGGAATTGGCATTGGCAACAGATGGCTTCTCAGATGCCAATCTCCTTGGACAAGGCGGGTTTGGGTATGTGCACATGGGAGTTCTTCCAAATGGAAAGGAAATAGCAGTGAAGCAGCTCAAAGCTGGAAGCGGGCAAGGGGATCGTGAGTTTCAGGCAGAAGTTGATATAATTAGCCGAGTGCATCACAAGCACCTGGTTTCACTTGTTGGTTACTTCAACACTGGATCACAGAGAATGCTTGTTTATGAGTTTGTTCCGAATGATACTTTGGAGTTCCATTTACATGGTATTTTTTCATTGTCTTGTTGCAATGCTCAAACTTTTTTTGTTGTTATGGTGCCGGTTGCACTTGGATTATGATTAAAGATGCTCACGGTTATTTAATTTTGCGTATTTGGTACTGGAGTCTGATGGATTATTCATGTTTCAGGAAAAGGGAGACCTGTCATGGACTGGCCTACAAGATTAAAAATTGCTTTGGGCTCTGCAAAAGGACTGGCATATCTACATGAGGATTGTAAGTTCTCTTTCTTTTCGCAAGCAAGGATGCGGGTGATAAGCATGCAATCACGACTGCGTTTCCTGTTGTAAAGACAAGGTTGAATTTTGTGATGATTCTCTTTTTAAAAACTGTGTATGCAGGTCATCCTAAAATCATTCATCGTGATATTAAAGCATCTAATATACTCTTGGATTTCAAGTTTGAGGCCAAGGTAATTCATTAAGATATTCAGTGTACTCCTAGGCAAATTTTGTGTTAAGCCTTGGAAAAGCGTGACGTAGAGCACTATTACAATGATCAGGATATCTAATGTAGAATCTTTTTTGGCAGGTTGCTGATTTCGGACTTGCAAAGTTTTCTTCTGATGTCAATACTCATGTCTCAACCCGTGTGATGGGAACTTTTGGGTAAGGCTTTTTATCTCGACAACCTAGTTTTGATAGTTATCTTTAGCATAAGATGTTTAAAACTGTCTCGTCTTCTCAGCTATATGGCCGTTCCTTTGATATTATGAAAGTTGCGATCCTTGTGAATTAGTTACTATGAGTTAGACATTACTATGTACATGCTGTTAGCTCTTGATGCTTTTCATGATTGTCACCGATTGTCATGATACATTTGTCTACGCATGATCTGTTTTGTCTATAGACTGACAAGCTTTATGAATTATTTGATGCCCGGGGTAGTGGTGACTGGTATGTGATTCAATTAGAGTTCATGTTTAACCCTTCTTGCTTCCTGCAGGTATTTGGCTCCTGAATATGCTGCAAGTGGTAAACTCACAGACAAGTCAGATGTTTTCTCCTTTGGAGTCATGCTTCTGGAGCTGATTACTGGACACCGCCCTGTTGACGCTACCCAATCTTATATGGAGGATAGTTTGGTAGATTGGGTAAGTAGGATATTACGAAATGGTTGCGTGCATAAATGATTTGTGTTCTTGATCCCCCAAAAGTTTTCTTTTCACCTCACGGCTGGGTACTCTTTTGGAATGGATTATGGCAGTAGGGTTCCAGGACCTCTTTTAAGTTCTTGATACATTTTTGAAATAATAAATTCCCTTGTTGGTACTGCAGGCAAGGCCGTTGCTCAATCGAGCTTTGGAAGACAGAAAATATGATTCTCTGGTTGATCCTAGGCTTCAAGATAACTTTGATGAAAATGAGATGGCCCGCATGGTCGCTTGTGCTGCAGCTTGTGTGCGTCACTCTGCACGACGTCGACCACGAATGAGCCAGGTGATGTTTCCTTCACAATTAACTCAAATTTCTTTCCTTCAATTGTGGCGTTGGCACTAGACCGACTGCATATATAACACATTAAAGTACAGCAGTTCCATTTGTTGTTTGACGAGGTCCAATTGGTTTTCTACTTCTATATAACACATTAAAGTACAGCAGTTCCATTTGTTGTTTGACGAGGTCCAATTGGTTTTCTACTTCTATATCTTTTCAAAAGCCTTCAAATGAATACACAACTTTATCCCCTCTATTCTTACATTTCAACTTCGTCTGACATTACATGAAACAAGCAGATAGTTCGCGCTTTGGAGGGAGATGTGTCCCTTGCAGATCTTAACGAAGGAATCAGGCCTGGACAAAGCAATGTCTACAGCTCCTATGGAAGCTCGGACTATGACACAAGCCAATACAACGAGGACTTGAAGAAGTTCAGGAAGGTGGCATTGGGAAGCCAGGAATACGGTGCAAGCAGTGAATACAGTGGACCGACCAGTGACTATGGCCTGTACCCATCTGGCTCGAGCAGCGAAGGCCAAACCACCCGAGAAATGGAGATGGGAAGGATGAAGAAAAATGGTCAAGGTTTCACAAAGGAAGCTGCATCCGGCTCAAGCGGCGAAGGCCAAACCACTAGAGAAATGGAGACGGGAAGGATGAAGAAAAATGGTCAAGGTTTCAGAAGGGAAGCTTTTTAACATCGTAAATTTCCCTTCTTCTCTGTAAAGATTTCCCTTATTCTTGCTCCAAAGGACCGTTCATTGCAAAAATATCATGTTTGATTGATATACACGAGTTTAACACAATTTTTTTCTCTCCTCTTTGCAATTATTGTTCTCTCTTGAGTCTCTTTTTTGCCCATGTATTTATTAGTGCTTACACGACAGATTCACAGGAAAGCTTGTGCGATTCTTTTATTTGTTGCTAAAATCTTGTTTTGTTTACATCATATTAGACCCTATCCACTGATGCTAATATGTACAACTACTGTAAAGTCGTTTCTACCATTTCCTTTTCAATTGTTTTACTTTTTTTTTTTTTTCATCATTTTATTTTTCATCACTTTTGGGAAAATGGGTTCGTAGTAGAATCTTCGTCCGTGACGGAACCTAGGGAAAAGAAAAAAAAAACATAAAACGCGTAATACGCTTTAAATGGCAGATCCATTATCAATGAAAGTCAATATCCCAACATAACCGGTGCTCTATCTTATATATTTACTTTGTCAACCAAAAAAAAAAAAAAAAAAAGTCACGGGCGAACCAAATGAAGCAGATGGTGTTCATGTTTATGTGACAAAGTCAAACAAAGCTCAAAGTGTCATGCATTATGCTTAGAATAATTGAACGTGACGGGAGCATTTAGCTTATGAAGAAGATGAGGGTGGAAAACAGCTCATCTAGATTCTTTTAGATCATTTTCTTGGGCTAAAATGCCAAACAGTTATGCATATGGCTTTCAGCTTTTTTCAAAAATTTTCTTTGGTCAATACAAGAAGATAAGAAAAAAGTGTGGCTTAAGTGTTTGTAACATTTAAAAAAGCTTAATGAGTCAAAAAAAAATCTTAAAATTGTCTAATAAACAATAAAAGTATATGAATGAAATTTATAATGCCTTAATAAAAACTCTAATACAGATTTTAAAATTTATTTAAAAATATATTTTTTTTAAAGACGCATTAATTAAACACTTTTAAAAATAATTTTTTAAATATAAAAAGTCAAAAACAGTTTTTAAAAAGCTCTTTCAAGCATACCTAAAAGAGTTGGACCGGGACCTCTCTGCTTGTGCTTTATTTTTCTGCAGTCCTTCTGGTAAAGTCAGAATCAAGCATTGAGATAAGTGCGAGTGCGATGCCAATATCAAATGCCCCAAAAAGGAGAAAAGAAACAAAAATTCATCGTCACAGCACGATTTCCTCATTTAAAATCTAAAAAAATATTGTTGGGGACCATTTGGATTCTTTCTTTCTTGATGAACATTGTACAATTTGGACCTTTCAGCAAAAGAAAAAAAAAAGAGTATATTTTGGACTTGGACAAGGGGACTTCTATCAACTAGATTAAATTTGGGAAATCTAAAGAAACGCCCTCTCAATAGAAGGGTATAAAGATTTTTCAACATTAGCCTCGTTCGTTTCGCTGATTTTAGTTTAAAATTTGAGTTGAGATATAATTTTATGTGATAATTTTTTACTGTAGTAAAAAAATTAAATGTGTATGTTTATAAGAGCTTTTTATTATAACAAAACTTGAATTCTAAACTCAAATCAGCGAAGCAAACGAGGCCATATGATTACGATTTTCATTTTGACTTTCACTTTCATTTTCACTTTCTCTTATCATATATCAACTTAAACATGACGGATATAAAAGAATTAGAATTAGGGGCGTAAGAATTGAACCTAAATCTGACTAATTCGTCTGATCCGACCTGAAAATATAGGGTTATATTTTTTTTTTTAAATTTCGGATTTAAATAGGCTCAACCCAGAATTTGCCGGTTGGGCCGCGGACCGGGTAACTTTTCACCCGAGTTGCCCCGACCCGCCCGTGTAAGTAACCATAAGTTCCAGTTTTCTGTTTTCCTTCCTCCTACCCACCCAGTCCCAGACTAACCCGTCCCGCAATATGTTTTCCTTGCTCCTACAACCTCTCCCCCGAGGAGATCTGCACCAAGATCTCGCTCTGCGACGCCCTCATCGTCCGCAGCGGGACCAAGGTCAGCCGTGAGGTGTTTGAATCCTCCGGAGGCAGGTTGAAGGTCGTCGGTAGGGCCGGCGTGGGTATTGACAATGTGGATCTGGCCGCCGCCACCGAGCATGGCTGTTTGGTCGTGAATGCGCCGACTGCCAACACTGTCCCCGCCGCGGAGTACGGGATCGCTCTCTTGGCCGCTATGGCTAGGAACGTTGCCCAAGCTGACGCCTCCGTTAAAGCCGGTCAGTGAGTTTTTCTTCTTTTTTTTTTCTTTTCCTTGTCTTTTTTGTTAGTTTTCGTTTTTATTTCAATATCTTGAACTTTATTTTCTTTAGAGCATTTCGTCGAGCAGTTTGTATGCGGCGCAAGATGCTGTTTGTTTTGGGAATTTCGTTTGATATTTTTCAGTGGTAGAGTTTGGTTAGTGTCCCTAGGATAACGAAACAGCTTTCATGTTTTCGATGGTGTAATGTGACGGAAAGATTTCTCGAAAATGCAAAAGATTCTGTTTTGACTTTGGAGAGCATGAAAGGTGCATTAAAAAAATCATTAAAAGTATTTTTTTTGCTTGTCTCAAAAAATTAGAGTTTGTTTAGATCTGTTTGGCTTTTGGTTACAGTAGTTTGTCTAAATATAGTAGGCAAGAAATGGTGTCAGCAATTTTTTGGTTTCTCTCCATTTCAAAGATCAGTTCCATTTTCCCTGCCTTTGATATTCAAGATGGAGAAGCCGACCAATTTTTGTGATTTGCACGCCTGAAGATTATCAACTGATTGAGATGCAACGTTTTTTCTGTTGTACCGTGCCTATCTCAACAACTTACTGATTTAGATTCTTTATTTGGTCGATCCAGGCAAGTGACAGAAGAACAAGTATGTTGGTGTATCGCTTGTTGGGAAAACACTTGCGGTTATGGGTTTTGGAAAAGTTGGCACTGAAGTTGCCCGGAGAGCCAAGGGACTCGGTATGCATGTTATTGCACACGATCCATATGCCCCAGCCGATCGTGCCCGTGCAATTGGCGTGGAACTTGTGAGCTTTGATGAAGCCTTATCCAAAGCGGATTTCATCTCATTGCACATGCCTCTCACGCCTGCCACATCAAAGTTTCTCAACGATGAAACTTTTGCAAAGATGAAGAGAGGAGTCCGCATTGTTAATGTTGCTCGTGGAGGAGTCATCGATGAAGATGCCCTAGTGAAGGCGCTGGACGCTGGAATTGTTGCACAGGTGTGTGTGTTCTCAATCAGAAGAGTATACATGCTTTTGCTGAGGAAAGTAAATAACATAATCCTTTTCTTTCTTCCACTGTAGGCTGCCCTTGATGTTTTTACCGAGGAGCCACCAGCTAAAGACACCAAGCTTGTACTGCATGAGAAAGTCACAGCAACTCCTCATCTAGGTGCCAGCACTATGGAAGCACAGGTAGTTTAAATGAACAGATTTAAGATCAGTGATGTCTATATTTCTTGTCTTCTTATTACCCGACCTTACTATCTTATGTAATGCTTGGATTTGTCATTCGTCAGCATTTGCAAGGTACTGTTATTTTTTTAATCTTCATTTTTGTGCAGGCGATTTTCTCTTTTGTGGTTGGTTCAAACAATTTGTTCTGCATGAGCTCAAATTGGATCAAAACTCAGCTTCTTTTAGAAAATTTTTTTAGTGCTAGAAAACGGAGTTGACCTTTTCAGTTCGAGTTGCATCCATGTGATAATTTGAGATTGAATGTATAAAGAAACCATTATATTGTAGCTTCAAGATTTTATTTCATCCCCTTGTTGTTTATTCTTTTGGACTGTTAAAAGAGGTATGAAGTCATAGATTAAGATTAGTTTTCACCAATCCGAGTAACCCGAAAGGTTGCGGGTTTGTAGACTTAAGAGAGTGTCGCGGCTCAAAGTCGGGTCGGCTTAATTTTTCGGCTCAACCCGATCTTACCCGGCCGATTTACACCCCTAATTAGAATGACACAAAATTAAAAGAGTTAAGAGGGTGGGTTCAAATTTTATCTCAAAATTTCTAATTGTCTCCTTAAAATATCATTTCTATAAAAACTTCAAAATGAGGAGATTTGAACTCTATATCTTATTAGAATTAGGTGTGAACTTATCATCAAGCTAAACCTCCGACCAATTGTCGTTATTCATGTTTGTGTAACTTGCACACATTAATTACATATACTTATATTGGCTCCCACATTTAATTTTGTTGGTGGCTTTACGTTTGTCTCGTAGAATTTTGCATAAAATCCTGTGAGATCAACGCAAGGCGTTAGAATCTTGAAAATGATATTATATATATATATATATAATATGCTACATCTTGATAGTAACATAACCAAACCGAATGACATTGGAGAGAAAGGGAAAGAAAATTTTATCTGTGTGTGTTCTTCCCCCCCCCCCCCAAAAGAGTTGTTAATACGCGAGTTTTGTGCTCAAAAATAAAATTGTCAAATTTATTCATCAAAATGAGTAATAAAAGTATGGTTCAAAATAGTATCCTATTTTTTTATTTTATTTTATACACTACCAAAAAATTTATTTATTTATTTATTGAAGTATCTATTGCAGAGTCGAGAAGACCTCTATGAAATGAATATCCTTTAAAAGAGTGACGCATATGCAACTATATAAATCTTGAGATAGACTTGCCCACAACACTACACGTACAAACCCAACACGCATTTATGTTGCAAAATTTCACGTAATATACATGCTTAGCCTTGGACTTAACATGTAGATGTTTCAGCAATCGGTACAAAGCAACCATTGCAGAAGATTTCTTAGCCTAAGACGTACGTACGTGTGTGTGTGTGTGTGTGTGTGTGTGTGTGTGTGTGTGTGTGTGTGTGTATGCGTGTATGTGTACGTATGTACGTACGTATGGGGGTACATCTTATGTGTAGCGACTGTAATATTGCAATATTCAAGAAAACGTCTAAATATTGAATTGTTCCTTGAACATGCTTGAAGCATGAAACTGGGAATAGTCCACTTAGGCACTTGATTTTGGAAATCTCCAACAATCGTAGATACCTCTATTCCAGCTAAGCTTTTGGGAGAAGAGGACAAGTCATTTTCATGGCCGTTCGTGGCCCGCGCAAGTTTTTATAACAACATAAAGAGCATTACTTAATTTATGCTTAAGAGTGCAAGAGTCTTGATTTTTTTCTTTTACTCTTGATTAAAAACATTTTGACCAATATAGTTATTAGACTAAAATAATATTAATTAAGAGTAAATGGTAAAAATCTAAACTCATACATTCTAAAAAGGTATTTGTCTCTCTTCCCCTTTTATATATTTGGCTCATGAGTTCAACCAATTTGAACTTATCAGAATCTCATTATATTTAATTTTGAATTCTTGAATCTTGAGGAATTAATTGCTGACGATGATTTATTTTTCTTCATTGACCATCAAGAGGTACATCCAAAATGATAATATACTGCCTTTTGGCTTGTATTTGGGCAATTCGTGTTTTTAAAAACTGCATTTCGAAGTTTTTGTTTCTAGAATGATTAAAAACAGATTTTGATTTCACTTTGGTTATTAGACCTAATGCTAGAAAGTAGAAACAATATGGGGCAATTGTATTTTGTTTCGAGAATGATTATAAAAAATTTGTGCTCTTGATTGTCGTCTTGCATGTTATATTCCTTTTGTATTGATGATTTTGTACCTGTGGCCTATTATATATTTCAGTAACTACTTGAAAAGCTGAAATCTGATCATATTGATGCTCATTAGTTGATTTTTTAACTCCCATTGTGTGTTGCCATCTTAAGAACACAAATTCCTTAATCAACTGTGTTGTTATCCATCCTCGTCAATCCAGGAGTTTATAATGAGACTAATGGTCTAATGCAAGCAGGGGGGACGGCAACCATCATTAAACATCTCAACTGTAGTTACTAACGTCACATCAACTTCATGTGAGAGAAAACACTGTAACAGAAAAAGTTAAATTTAAATTTTTATGAGAGAAAATACTGTAATAAAAATTTGAGTTAAGATTCGAACTAACAAAATGAATGACGCTTAGTTAATCCAATCCATATGATGGCCTAATGTATGAAGCTATAGTTTATGATATTTTCCTAAGATCCTACTCTTGTTTTAAAATGGGAGTCTGTACAGGAATTATAATATATATATATATATATATATATTGTGTGTGTGTGTGTTAAAACACAAAAATTATATGCATGTTCTCTAATTTTAAAATATTAACTAGCATTTTCCTTATTTTCTCCATATTAAGAAAGTGTTAAAAGTGTACTCTCAGAACTCTCAAGATATTATGAAATAACAAATATCAATAGTGAGAACATAATTTTTTTTTTTTAAGCCACGGAACTAATCATCAAAGAGTCTTACGGTTTAGATTAATCAGTCATGAGCTACACACAGCCTTTTTCACTGTACATATTAAAATAATTTTAAAAGGCTTGGAATTGAATGCAAAAGGAAAAGAAGCAATTTTGAAACAAAACCAAATAGTTAAGTAATGGCTATGGCTTTTCTACCCTTCTTTTTTCTCACGCAACAAAATTATGAAACTCTACAAAATTGTGAAACTCAACTAATCAAAGAGCTTAGAGACGAAAATATTAATAACGAGAATGTATAAAAACTAAAGAATTGAAAGCAAAAATATGTGCCCTAGTTTAATATGAACTCAGAGAATCCTAGATGACTGAGAACAAAGAATCCTAGTTCTCAGTCAATTACTCTCAATAACTGTGTTTTTTTGTTTTCTCAAATAGGTGAAGATACTTTTGCGCTATGGTGAGATTCATCATCCAGTTTTTCATGATTGCTTAAAACACATAAAGGTAAAACTCTTGTCTAATTCTTTTATTTCTTCTTTTTTGTTGCAAAAAACGTCCCTTATTAGTCGCATCAAGTGAAGTATAAATGTTTTTTAACCTAGAAAATTACCCTTGATCCAATACAGGGGTCATTCTATGAAATAATACATTTTTAACATATGTTTCTACTACAATATCTGAAAATTGTTTATTTTTTTGTAATATCAAACATTAACTAAAATATCGCCCACACCTTTTCCATGCAAAACCGTACGAAGTTTACATTGATGCAGAGAGTTTACCCCATTTCGTTCTAATCGGTGTCTAAAGATTAGATTGCAAACCAGATTATCTATCTTTTTTATTTTTTATTTTTGGTTTGAAGGGGAGATTATCCAATTTTTTTTTCACCGTGTGACGCATTCTTGTTCGTTTCTTGTTTTAGGCCACTAGTGTTTTGTTGTAATTCCTCTTGAAGTTTAGGAATGGTATCTTTTCTTCTTTTTTTTTCAAAACAAAAATTAATATCTTTTCTAATCGTTAATTATCTTCAAGTGTTTTGTCTGTAATAACCTTTGTTTTGTTCATAGTATAAGAGTGTTATCGATGAGGTTTTTTTTGTTTTTGTTTTTTTTATTACTAAAGCATCAAGCATGTATAACAACTTTTAAACGTTAAGATTACTAACTAAGTGCGCATATATTATATATAGACATCAATAGCATTTGAACACTACACTTTAGAATGAAGTCCAACGTGAAAGTACTACTAAATTATGCCTCCAATCATAATCACAAAACTATTTTTACTTCTCCTAATTCATTCCTTTTCAGGTGAGACCCCGAAGAGCTTCTGTTATCCATGACGTGCCCGTAATTTGGCATTGTGCACCAATTGGATGCATAAAAATCAACAATGATGGGGCTACACGTAGTAGGCGAGTTGTGGTGAGTGTTTTGCGACTACATCGGCTCCATCCTTGGAGCTTTTAGCGAATCCTGTGGTCATGCAACGACATTTGAGGCTGAGCTATGTGGTGTTATTCGAGCGGTAGACATCTCTTACAGTCGAGGACTGGGAAGAATTTTTGTTAATCTAGTCAACAAACTTTCATCAGACGTGCCTCCTTCTATCTGTAAGAGATATGTAGATCCTCCTTCTATAAGAGATATGTGAATCGTTATATTGGAGTTCATGAAGCAAATGGAGTTTTGCATAGTAACTCATATATACAGGGAGAGAAACAATGCGGCTAATAAAGTTCGGGGAGAGAAACAATGCGGCCGATAAACTTGGGAATTACAATGCGGCTGATAAACTTGGGGGAGAGAAACAATGTGGCTGATAATGGCTGATAAACTTGCAAATTACTTGGGGGAGAGAAACAATGCGGCTGATAATGGCTGATAAACTTGCAAATTACGCAATTGACTCCTGATAAACTTGGGGGAGAGAAATAATACGGCTGATAATAACTGATAAACTTGCAAATTACGCAATCTGATAAACTTGAGGGAGAGAAATAATACGCAATCTAATAAACTTGGAGAGAGAAATAATGCGGCTGATAAACTTACAAATTACGCAATTGACTCCGCTTGGGGTTTTTGGATTTGGAAAAAACATTACTTCTCCTAATTTAAATATAAAAGGAATTATTTAACTTGAGTGAAAATCTAATACTTAAATGCTTTTAACTGGCGTAATTGAAAGACTCTAGATGTCTTAAATAGGCTTCAAAGCATCTTCTTTTTTGTTTCTAAATCAATGTGGGACTAGGTTGTGTTTTTATTCTGCCAAATAGTCTAACAACTATGGCCTCGTTCATTTCACCGATTCGAGTTTTCAGTTTTAAGTTTCTACAGCAAAAAGCTCTCAGAAAATATCACATCAACTTTTTCTGCTACAGTGAAAAGCTCTTAGAAAATGTTACATCTCAGCTCGAATTAAAAAC